TAGACGTTAGAGGAAAGCCAGTCGCTAAGAGCTGCGATGAATGACGCTAACAAACAATACAGAGCTGCAAATGAGGGCGAGTGGGTAGGACTCATCGAGCGTTAGATTTATTGAAAAGGGGCTTAGGAATAATGTCCAGAAAACAAAGATTAGGTGCTGCTCGAGGAGGAGAAGAAGAAAAAAAGGCAAGGTTTTTAGCCAATTCACACAAGTTTGCTAACGCAACACTTGAGTTTTATAGAGCTGAAAGAAGACGTAGAGAAACATCTAGCAGAAACAAGGTGACGGACAGCAGTAAAGACCATTAAGACCGTGTGATAGAAAGATGACATAGAGAAACATCTAGCAGAAACAAGGTGATGGACAGCAGTAAATACCATTGAGTCCGTGTGATAGGAAAGATGACGTAGAGAAACATCTAGCAGAAACAAGGTGATGGACAGCAGTAAAGACCATTGAGTCCGTGTGATACGAAAGAAGACGTAGAGAAACATCTAGCAGAAAAAAGGTGATGGACAGCAGTAAAGACCATTGAGTCCGTGTGATAGAAAAGATGACGTAGAGAAACATCTAGCAGAAACAAGGTGATGGACAGCAGTAAAGACCATTGAATCCGTGTGATAGAAAAGATGACGTAGAGAAACATCTAGCAGAAAAAAGGTGATGGACAGCAGTAAAGACCATTGAGTCCGTGTGATACGAAAGATGACGTAGAAAAACATCTAGCAGGAACAAGGTGATGGACAGCAGTAAAGACCATTGAATCCGTGTGATAGAAAAGATGACGTAGAGAAACATCTAGCAGAAACAAGGTGATGGACAGCAGTAAAGACCACTGAGTCCGTGTGATAGGAAAGAAGACGTGCCAGAACGGAATGGAACGATGGACTCTAAGGAACTACCATGTAAGAAGTCGTTAAACATCGTTTAAAAGACAAGATTAGCATCAGGTCCAAACGGCATTCTCTACGAAGTAAACAATAAGTGTGCAAATGACCTATGTTGACACCTCGGTCAAGAGATCTGGAGTGCATGGATTCTCGGTATGCATGGAACATACAAGCGTAACTGAATCTGATAGTCGTATCCCGCAAATGCTCATAGAAGAGGCACTTAGGCATTACCATATAGATCTTACATTTCGGAGGTCTCATCAAGACTTACTTCAGTGGTATCCAACTGCAACTCACCATCAAAAGTTTCACAACATCGTGACAGAAGATGGAAAATGGCATTGTGTCCGGATGTACAATTTATCAGTTATCAATTTTGTCATTGGTTATTAACATCCTCATCAAGGTGGGAACAAGAGACAAGAAGGCCAAAGACAACTAGTAACATCAGGCAACCACCAAGCAGAGGCTTTATGGATAACCTAACCGTAACAACAGAAACACATGTTCAAGCCGGTTGGATACTCCGAACCCTTGGCACCGCATCGTTGGTATGGAAGAATTCAATTCTTCAGTTCTTTAGTCATCAGGCAACCACCAAGCTGAGGCTTTATGGATACCCTAACGGTAACAACAGATACTCATGTTCAAGCCGGGTGGATACGCCGAACCCTTGGCACTGTATCGTTGGTATGGATGAATTCAATTCTTCAGTTCTTTAGTCATACAGAAAAGCAAACTCACACATCTGTTCCAAGTCTTAAACCAGGTGAAGGCATTATATTGATCACTGCAAACCCCCAAAAATGCGAGATAAGTGGCTCGATGCAACGATGACAGACAGGGTAATCATAACAAGAAAGGTAGTACAAAGGTGAACAAAAAAATATGCAAAATATCGACAAGACATGTCTCGTTTGGGATTTCAAAACATAGCTTTATCAACATGGACTACTACTCCCCTTAGCTTGGCAATTTGTGCTGTATGAAATCACCATGTCGACCGTAGAAAATCTGGAACGGAATATCAACAAAGCCCCCTGAAGTTGTTAGGAGTACCCCAACTGAACATGATCATGTGTAACGTGCGGGCGGTCACCCATCCAATTACTGACCTCGCTCGACGTTGCTGAACCAGTGAGGGGGTCCCCTGGTTATCACTGGAAACGCTAGCTTGCCACTAAGGCAGTATTTCCTCCATCATATTTCTTAGCAACACATGCCTGACCATGAAGGATTCCAAGGATGACAAGAGGCAGATCGGAAGTGGTCATCATCCAAAGAAGTTGTTAAGGCTGGAAACAGATCACACCATCAGGATCTTATAGGGACATAAGCCATAGAACAAGGAATAGTACCTACTTGGAACTGCTACAAAACAAGAGGCCCTGTATCGCTCATCTTAATATTTGAGCAATCATGGGAAAATATTCTCAATAGAAGTACTTTTGCAAATATTTCCATATATTGAGTATCCTTGGCTTAGGAATGTTCCAAACTAAATGAAACTTCCTTCCACTCTATCCCAGCATGCTACTGTTCAAATACCTCCTAGTATTTCGGAAGAAGTTGTTTTAAGATATTAACATATTTGACCCCTGTGACCGTGATTTTTTTTTAATCCTGTGACCTTGAAATTAAGTCAATGTCATTTATTTGAGGAGAATTGATAGCACTCTGTCCAAGGTATGTACTGGCCAAGTATAAGTCCTCTGGGCCTCCTGGTTATTCCCAAGAAGTTGTTTAAAGGTTTTAAACACATTTGACCCTCACGACTTTGAAATTAGGTCAAGGTCATTTATTTGAGGAAACATTATAGCACTCTGTTAAAGGTACCTACTGGCCAAATATCATTGCACTAGGCCTCTTGGTTATTCATCAGAAGTTGTTTAAAGGTTTTTACAACTTGGAACTTTTTGATCTTGAAAATAGGTCAAGGTCATTTATTTGAGGAAAGTTTGTAGCACTCTGTCTAAGGTACCTACTGGCGAAATATCATGGCCGTAGGTCCTCCAGTCCTAAAAAAGAAGATGTTCAAAGAAAAAAGTTTGTGCCTTGTGAGTTAACAAGAGGCCCAGAGGGCCCGTATCGCTCACCTGAATATTTAAGCAGTCAAAGCACAATATTCTCATTAAATATCATATACTACCAGCCAAATAATATTATAAGATTCTATGCATTTTTGTTTAGACACATTTTTCCCTGTGACCTTGTAATGTCATTTTCCTTCTCAAAATTTGTTAGGTCTATCCCAAAAAGCTACCAGCCAAATCTTATGCATCCATTCCTTTTGGTTCTTCAGAGCAAAATGTTGTTGACCTCTGTGACCTTAAAAGTAGGTTGTGATCATTTTCATTTGCAATCTTTGGTGAGCTTTATCCCAGGAAGCCACCAGCCAAATATTATAATTCTATGCCTTTCGATTATTCAGAAGAAGTCGTTTGATTTTTTGACATATTTGACACCTGTAACCTTGAAAGAAGGTCAAGGTTATTTTCATTCTCAAACTTTGTCGGGCTCTATCTCAGGAAGCCAACAGCCAAATATGAAGATTCCATACCTTTCAGTTCTTCAGGAGAAGTGGTTTGAAGCGTTTGACATATTTAACCCCTGTGACCTTGAAAGTAGGTCAAGGTCATTTTAATGAGGAAACTTTATAGCAATCCATCCCAGGTACCTACTGGCAATATATTATGACCCTGGGCTTTATGGAACTTGAGAAGATTGTTGAAGTTTTTAACATATTTGACCCGTGACCTTGAAAGTAGGTCAAGGTCATTTTAATGAGGAAAGTTTATAGCACTTCATCCCAGGTACCTACTGGCCAAATAGCATAACCCTAGGCCCTCATGTTCTTCAGAAGAAGTCGCTCAAAGAAAAAGTTGCCCGACAGCCGGATGCCGCAGTACTGCATAAGCAACAGAAAGGTCAAGTATGGTTCTGTATGAAATTCAATCCAAAAAAGAGGAGATCAGACAAGCCCAAGCAGTTAAATTGGAATGCCAAGGAGGATGGATAGGCTGTTCCTAAGCCGACATCTGGTAGTAATACGAATTCCAATTTCAGTTCCTTCTCCCATTGTTGTATGTTTTGCTACCAACACAAGCAAACCTGTATGAAAGCTAGCAGCAACATCTGACTGCCCTTTTGTGGAAAGACAGGCACTTGAGGACACTAGATTGTATCGTTGTGTCATGTCACTCTATCCCAGGGAAGTATACATGGCATCACAACCAAGTACTTTAGACCTGGCAGGTGTGGTTGAAAAGCATCTAAAGAACAAGCCATACCAACTACTGCAGGCAAAATAAAGAAGAGTTCTGAGATCCTTAACCAAGCAGGAGTCTGGAAGATTGCAACGGATAGCAACCCAAAGCTGACATTTACAGAGATAGTAGCAACCAACATCAGACTAGACAAGGCACTGCAGTCAACTAAAATGAAGAGGATCATATATATATATAGTTACTGGATTGACAATCCCTTTGGAGGAAGATGTAGAAAAGTCGATGAGCAACAGAAGGCCCAAAATAATCACTAGAAATACAAAGAAAAAGGAAGCTCCTAATTGAAAACCATTTTTGTTAATGCAGATAGCCAAAGTAAACATCTTCCTGCACTGTATGGCCTTTTCTTTATTTGTGACAGAAGATAATGTTGATATAGTGTTCAGTTTGGTTTGTTTGGTTTATTTGGTTTATTTGTTTTTTACATCCTATTAACAGCTATGGTCATTTAAGGACATGCCAGGTTTTGATGGTGGCGGAAAGCCAGAGTTCCCGGAGAAAAACCTATGACCAACAGCCAGTATCTGGCGACTGCCCCATGTAGGTCTCGAACCAGCGACCCAGTGGTAGAGGGGTAGTGGTAGCAGAATGTCAGACGCCTTAACCACTTGGCCACCGCGGCCCCATATATTGTTCAGACATCTTGATTATGAACATGGATATTTACAAATCAGCAAAGTCAACACACTGCAGTTACGAGACTATTAGGTTGCAAGTGGTACTTAAATAGTATTGACTTAAAATAATATTGTGAAAATCAGAGAAACAACTCGACACTGTTTCTACATGTATTATGTAAATAACACAACAAACACCTCCAGTCATGTGATCAAACAATTTATTGAAACCTACCTGTTAAGTATAAGATGTATAATTGTACATTAAACAAATTGTAAATAACAGCTTTAAATGACATCCCAACACTGGTGAGAACACAATAGGGATTTTAGAATAATATGTATTTTTGCTCTATTATTTAATATATTGGAGCTACTACTAGCAAAATTCTAATTAAGTCTAATTAAATTACATTGTTTTTATTCCAACCAGATTTATCTTACCTTTTCTTTACTGATAACTGTACATCTGAAATAGTCTGGCCATTGGGATGTTAATGACACATCTAGATATATGGAAGCAAGTCTACACATATGTCCAAAGAATTCAATATAACAAGACTTCACATTTATTTAAGACCAACTCAACACACACTGAAAAGCAGTAGCAAGTGACACCACTTTTCATTTGGGTATTTGAAGCTAATGAAGTCAATTCATAAAACTTAATACCCTGCCATAGAGATTAAAGGTAACATAATTAGGTCAACAATCACTTCAAGCTGAAACATAGTATTTATTACATTCTTAGCTGTGCAATATCAACTTATATCAAATACTATTTTTCATATCAATCTGATTAGTGAGAAATCAGAACAGTCACTGCTCCATTATCAACACTGAGACTACAAATGTCTGTCCAGATTGAGAAGTAACGAGAGTTAAATCTGTGTAGATAAACTGTAATAATGGGTCACTTTTCCTGAACATACATATCTTAAATGTAAACCGACATGATTTTTGTCTAGCAGAAAGAATGGGTCCCTGGTATTGCCATCAGCAATGGACAAAACAGAAATATCATGTGATCACAGCCCCAGAGTTGACACAGAATTTAAAAGATTCCGTTTTCCAACAAAAATTAGTTTCAAAAATTTTAAATAGAAAAGTTTATGTTTGTTAATGATTTCACTTGAGTGGCAAAGTGCATGTACAATGTATATGTTATTCAATATTTCCTCAATATTTACTCACAATTAACTCACTAACAAAATAGTATTCCGGTAACCGTATGAAACATATATAAGATCTTCAATGGAAAACATTAAAATATTCTTTCTGTTTATAACTTCACGTAGATATATGAGTTCCTGTGATGTAACAAATTAAAGTACACATAACAATACAATCTGTGTTATACCTCAATTAAGAAATATGAGAACTATATCTTAAGACTTTAAGCCCCAGCTTATTTGGGAGGGGAATTTGCAGACTTGTACTGACTGATATATGAAGTAAATGTATGTACTAAACAGACCTCAAGTTGAACAATATACTGTGTTTCAACAATATCAATAACCATGATGTAATATATTCACCCCGATCAGGCTTTCTTCCTTATGTAATATTTATATCCGATTCATTAAAGAAAGCGTCACATCTACAGGCAGATGTTTTTATAGGAGTTAATTGTAAATACACACAACACAACAGGGCTGTGGAGTACCCTGTGCTGATTTGTAGGTTCAGCAAAGTGAATCCCAATCAGTCTTCGTGGCAATCCTTCCAGACGCGGTATGTCCAGAGGGTATCTCAGTGCTGAGACCATTGAATATTCTTCAGGTCAATTCCTTCCTGTACCATTTCCCACAATGGACTGGAAATTAAAACAAATGTACATTCAGTTAGTACTCCATAAAACCCTCTGATTGTACCATGATTTAAGATAAAGTTTATACAGAGAATATCAAAGGGTCACATGGTTCATCATAAGAAATAAATTTAAAGTGCTATAGGGAAGGTTAGATTTTAACATAATTGTAGATGATTAAAATTCCTGTTGGGAAGGTGTTCATATTTAATACATTATAGTCTGTGTAAGTCGGTTAACAAGTAGTGACAGCCTGTTAAGTACTGGAACCCATATGTAACTGGCTTTTGAAGCTACTGGTAGGTAAAAAAATCAGTGCTCACCTCATCTCTCGCAGACGTGTAACATGGTCAATACATTTGTCTGCAGTGTAATCCAGTTCTTCCTCTGTTGTAAATCTCCCTATCCCAAACCTTTAGAGATGAAGAAAACAAACGCTCAAATTGAAATTTAACTGTTAATATGTTCACAAAACCAAGATAAAGAATACACTGCAAGCCTCTGATTTTTATATTGCATATTCCCCCTTTGATACAATGAAAATTGTTTAACTGACAAAAGCAATAAATATTCTTTTTGTACACTCTGTCAAGTAAATCCTGGATTTATGTTACATTTTTAGACGTACAACATATTTTATGCAACTTTTCCAATCTTGTGTTAACATTACAAAAGGATATTCTTCATTGAACAGAATTGCAGGCAATTTACTCCACCATTTAATATAATTATGTACATGTATACCTGCTCCCTTAAAAATGGAAATTTTCGTAGATTTCACTTTAGCTACACCAGTGCAAACTAAGAACAAAATTGTGTATATTGGAAGAAAAAGACAAAAAAAATCTGCAGCCTTGTAAAGAACACAAACATTTCAACACAAGTAGTTTGAAGAGTTTAGAAGATAAAATTTCCACATGAAAAAAAATTCCACAATGTTTACAATTATGCAAAATTACTCATAAAACCAGAACAAATGATAGACACAGCTAAATTGATGTTTTGATACAATCTCAAATTACCTGATTGATGAATGTGCCAGATCTTCATCAGCACCAATCGCTCTCAATACATAGGAGGGCTCCAGGGATGCAGATGTACAGGCGCTGAAACAGGGTACAGAAAAAAGATGAAAAAAGATTTTAAGCAGTGTCAAGTCTGTGGGTATTGTATTTGCTGCCTTATTTACTACTGTCAGTAAAATTATAACATGTATTGTGTGGCATCCAGAAGCTTATTTAAATTTTCAACCAAATTTTGAAAGAAAGAGGATATCAACACTTTAAATCAATTTTTTTAACATGTACTGTCCTTTAGCACAACAATTTTAATGGATTATAGGTATCATTTGAACAACATGGAGTATAGTTTTAAGAGTTTGAATGTTTTTCTTTTGGTCTATTGTATGTTTTTAATATGTCCAATACCCATGAAATGGCTCTGTCAATGTGAGGTGACAGGATATTAACACACGCTAACGAACATTTCCAGATCAAGCTTAAATGAAATATAAGAGTTCAGACTCAAGAAAAGAACTAGCTCAACAGCCATTTATGGTGCATGTTTCATTTAAACCGTTATTAGATTTAAATGGTTGCAAAGTCATGACTTCAGGAACACTAAAGGACAGTTAATGAAGGATTTATAGAGATACCGACTAAGCCAATATAACCAAGGGAGATAATTCCACTTATCATCCTGAAGATAATATTAATAGATAGGAAACATCCTTCAATGTTTTAAGAAAAAGATCTCCCTAACCACTTACCTCCCTGAAGATAAAGCAACATCCTTCAGTGCCATCAGTAAACTCTCTCCTTCCACAAAGGCAAAGGACAAATTCACACACCCTGTAAAGTGATAGGGAAAACAGGTCTGAGTAATAAAACTTGTTGCCTTGTTTATGAAGAAGTAAACATCCTCTGTAGCTACGTATACATCAGTTTCCCAAATTTAAAGTCCATGTACAGAGGTGACATTTGACCACTTGCCTTGTTGGTTTTTTTTAATAACAGACCTGAGAATTATTTTTTATATACAACTTTAACATTCATCCATGAATCGTCCATCTATGAAGTTGTATTAAAAATATTCCACTGTACATCTGTCTTGACCTTCGAACCTTGCTGTGACCACTGACTTGATGGTACAGACATGGGAGTTACATGTAACATACTGTCCAGTCATGTTACATCCAAACAAGCCATTAAAAGGTTTTCTGCTCTTAGAACTGAATGCCAAGACAAGAATGTAGATCGACTAATGGATATCATGCAATCCTTAGGTCAAGTAATGCATTAAAAGGGGCTTACTAACAGATGATGGACACCATTGGTGTATACAGAATAACAGGTATCACAAAAGACATCCTGAAGTGCAAAAGTACCTGGATAGGATTGTTCTGGATCGCCGTTCCGGATAACCTTGGGGAGTGCCGACTGAAGACGGTCAATCAGTCTGTTGGACAGAGCTGTGATCCTCTTGTGGTCATACTGTAACAAAAAGGTAGATTTTTTATTGATATAATGGATTTGTTTCAAAGTTAAATATCACATTTTATTTGTAATTGATTAAACCAAACCCTTAAAGACATTCAGAATAAAATATATTTTCTGCAAGCATTTGGGAGAACTAAAATCACATTTATGGAGACTTTTTGTGACATGTGTCCACTAACCTCCATTTCCTGCATAGCAATCTCACAAGCTGAGCCTAAGCCCACACAGAGAGGGGTGGGGACAGTGCCACTCCTCATTCCTCTCTCCTGCCCTCCTCCACTCTGGGGAGCATCTACCCTCACTCTAGGCCGACGCCTCACATAAAGGGCTCCGACACCTGTTACAAAAGACAGGCTGACTTGTAATACACATCGAAACAAATCTCAATATGTACCAACACACATGTACATCTAGCTAGTTGATGATAATTTGAAATTTTAAGGATCCTGTATGTGTGTTTATGTAAACTTGAGGAAAACTTATTTGTTTCGACTTTTGCAACCTGAAAAATGTGAAACAGAGAGTTAGTTGGGATGCTGTTAATTTACTTTTGAGAACAAAACCACAAAAATCTGACACTCACAAATTAAATTGCTATGTATAGTGGGTGATACCTTCGATACATTTTCACTGATAAAGATGTACTGTCCCCAGCAAAATCTCGTGCTGAATTATAATGGTACATGTTTGAGGAAGTATACCTTTAGGTCCATATAGCTTGTGTCCACTGATGGACATCAGATCTATCTTCATGTCATTCACATTTACAGGCACTTTACCGACGGCCTGAGCTGCGTCAGTGTGGAAAAATATCTTGTTGGCACGGCACATCTCACCTGTGTTAAAGATAGAGAGCATCACATAACACAGATAACAATAATATAAGTCTCTATTAATAAGCACTGATACCCTAGTCCTCACCCATGGAGCCTAGTTCATATACTTCTCAAGGGGACCTTGTTCTCATCCAGAGGGCTTAGTCCTTAACCATGGGGCTATGTCTTTACCACAAGACCTATTCCAGTCTTAGAGAGGTGATGAACTGATTACTGGACATATTGACAAGTACCCTATTTGCAGTATTTCGTGTTTGCTTTATTCATAGTCTGAATGATTTCTGCACGATATAAACTTCTAGCTATCTGTTCATGTGAAAACAGTAACAAAACTGAAAGTAGTCTGGAATGTAGCACAAACTAATTTTTGTGCTGATGCACTAACACAATATCATGAGAGTTCCAAGTTTAAGTGCTAAATAGAGAATTCCCAGAAACTTAGCTTTATTTCCAGTGACATGCATTACCTTTCTGTAAAATCTGTTCCACAACAGGGACGTGCTTTACAATTGCCAGCTTATAATTATTACTGGTATATGTTTGTTTACATTGCACTTTTACAAATATACATACCAATCTCCTTTACTGGTTGAGTGACACCAATTTCATTATTGACCATCATTATTGACACTAGGCCAGTATCGGGTCGAATTGCATCCTGTAGTTTCTGTTAACATTAAACAAAACAAAAGTTAATAAAGATACAATAACTATAAAGCTCTATTATTATGAGTCACATTATTTTCAAAAAATGCTTACTTCTTTCAACAAGATGATAGCTTAACTTGAAAAACATAAAATAAGTGTATAGTAAGACATACTAACTTTGTTTATTGGTGTAAGGATCCTTCAGAATTTGCCATAATTTACAATCTGATTAGAAGCCTAAGAGTTGGCAAATATTGGCCAGGATGGAGTAACAAAAGGACTCCATGTATTTGTACAGATTTCTACAATCATATTTATGATCACAAGAGTCAATTTCTATTGATAAATAAGGACACAATTTTCAATAAAAAACATCAGAGACCATATCAGGTAGAAAGTGTGTTTTCAGCATTCATTGTCCACAAAATAGTTATTGTTAACAAGAGGCCCAATGGGCCTGAATCGCTCACCTGGTATAAATCTCACACTTGTAATCTTAAAAGTGGACTAAAATACAGCTACAGGCAGAATATCACTGTTTGAATTATAAGAACCTATTAAAAGATTTAAACATATGACGCCTGTGACCTTGAATGTTGAACAAGGACATAATTAGGTTGAATAGAGTTTATAGTCTTCTAACCAAGCATGCTTCTGGCAAAATATCATTACCCTGGACCTTTGGGTTAAACAGAACATGCAGGTCATTTAAAGGTTTAAACATATATTGACAACTGTGACCTGGAATATTTGTCAAGGTCATTCATTTTAACAAACTTGGTAGCCCTTCATCCCAGGATGTAAATGGCCATATATCGTCACCCTGGGCCTCTTGGTTATTCAGAAAAAGTTGTTTAAAAGTTTTAAACATATTTGACCCCTGTGACCTTGAATATAAGTAAAGGTCATTCATTTGAACAAAGTTGGTAGCCCTTCATCACAGCATGCTACTGGCCAAATATCATTATCCTAGGCCTCTTAGTTATTCAGAGGTTGTTTAAATAATTTTAAGACAATTGGCCCATGTGACCTTGAAAATGAATGAAGGTCATTCATTTGAACAAACTTGGTAGCCCTACATCCCAGCATGCTTCTGGCCAAATACCATCACCCTGGGCATTTTGGTTATTCAGAAGAATTTGTTGCAAGTTTTTAACATATTTGACCCCTGTGACCTTAAAAATAGGTGAACATCATTTATTTGAACAAAGTTGGTAGCCCTTCATTCCAATTTACTTCTGGCCAAATATCATCACCCTAGGGCTCTTGGTTATTAAGAAGTTGTTTAAAGTGAAATATTGACGCCGGACGCCACACCATGGTATAAGCTCACTTGGCCTTTTGGGCCAGGTGTCAGAGCTAATAATGGGATTTAACCTGTTTCTTATGCTGGAAAATATTACGAGATGCTTTAAAACCTGCATCACATTAGTCAGCCTGTAAGCTTCTGCAAAATCTGTATGAACAGCAAGCTCATAAGGATATTGCATTAACAGACACATGATGAATTATTTACTATTATACTTGTGAAGGGTTCAGTAGAAATATGTTTGTACAGACACTTGTACAGGTAGTACATGTATAATGACTTACCTGTAAATCAATCAATCCATTTGTCTGCACAGGTAAGTAAGTGACATCAAAGCCTTCTGCTTCTAAAACTCTGCAGGAATCTAGGACACATTTGTGTTCCTGTATGTCACAAAATGTACTTGTAAGACACTGTCTGAATTTGGGAATTGTTTTAAAACAAAGTGTATACCAAGCAATAACAGGGATCAATCTAGGATTTAGAGAAACTTTACTTTTGAAGGAGAATACATTACAAGAATAGAAATTTTCTTCCTAAAAATATTTTTAATGTCAACGAGCAAACAGTTTACCATAATAATTACATAATGATAAATCTGGTTCAATCATTGGTAGATAAATTCAAATCAAATTTCATCATTTTCACTTTTAATTGAATTCAAATGGGAATGTCATATAATATATATCTAATAGATAAAAGTGTAATGCAACAGCTACATCTGTAATATTACTTTGATTAAGAAATATTCACTATGCTGAATCATTCAGTTCATCAATATCTGTATTGTAGTGTCATATGACTTACTGTCTGTGTTGTAATGACATGCTTTTTCTTGCTTTTGTAGAACCTCCCCACGCCTTTGACTGCAATGTTGTTGGACTCGGTAGCTCCACTGGTGAACACAACCTCCCTGGGGTCTGCACCAATTATTGTTGCTATTTGCTGCAATTAACAGTTAAATAAACAGTGAGGATCCAAAAAGGTTGTGGGCATTTCCTTTCTCCTCACTCCATGTCTTTTTATTTATTGATAATTTTGAATACTGTTTTATTCATTCCACAAGATTGAATTCCTTTAACAATGGAGACTAAATTACAATATCCATAATAAATGATCAAATCTAATACATGTGAGTATTCTTTGATTAACGCAAAATTATATGACACTACAGCATCTTCCTAAGTCATGAGTCATCTAAAAAGAAATTACAGATCACCGATAAACCTTTTTCACCTGGAAAGATGTAAAGTAGTTTAAAACAGACACTATTCTAAAAATTAATTATCTATAGTCAATTATCTTTAGTAAAAGTATTAAATTAAATAAGAAATCCAACAATTTCCAATCTTACTTGTCTGGCTTTTTCCACAGCAGCCTCACTTTCCCATCCATATGCATGAGTCCTTGAATGTGGGTTTCCATAGTAACTAACAAAGTATGGCAGCATGGCATCCAAAACACGAGGATCCTGTGAGAAAATGATTTAAAACATACAACATAAATATCAGTTTAAAATGATTGAAAACATACAACATTAATATCAGTTTAAAATCTTGCTTTACTTCTACGAAAAAAATATACATACAATAGAAAATATATGAAACAAATTTCAGTCAGGTCCTAAACTTAAGATATTCTTTAAATTTTTGATAGGGAAAGCATTACTGGAGTTTTAAAGGAACAAGATGCCCATAGGGCCTGAAGATACTTACCTTTTTAATTCAGCCATTCTTTTCAAAAACTTCCTGGTGGTACATTTCATTAAGCTACAGGGTAAGTATTATGACTCTAGGCCTTTAATAATTAGTTCTTCAGAAGTTCAGTATTTTTACAAATTCCGTAGCACCACATTTCAGCAAGCTAGTGCATGTGCAATTGTCATGTCAGTAGGACTTGGTTCTTAAGAAGTCATTAGAGTATTTTTTAACGGTTTTATACATGTGACCTAAAATGTGGATCAAAGTAATTCTTTTTGCAACGTTTAAAGTACTCTATAGGCAAAAGTCATGATTTTTGTCGTTTTTGTTCTGAGGAAGTCCTTGGGGTGTTCTTACAAATTGAAGCCCTGTGACCTTAAATAAGGGTCAATGTCTTTTTCCACAAAGTTTGTAGCACTACATAACTGCAAGCCACTGGCCATATATTATGGTTCTAGATATTTTATTCAATTAGGAAAAGATATTTTCCCAAATTTTTGTTGCTATAATTTGTTGTTCTATATCATTCCTGATTTAAGTCAGTCTATAATTACCAAAGGTGTTGTTGCTTGTGCATCCAGATAAAGTGGTCTCATTTCTTTTGCAGGCATGTCCTTCCTTATTTCTGAGAAATCCTCACTTTTAGCTGAAACTAAATCACATGTCATATTAGTATGTGTGTACAACTCCACTCATTCTTCTTCACTACTTCAGAACTTACAATGAAAATATGGTTAGGCAGATCAAATGTATCTATTTATTCTTGCAGGTGGGGGGGGTATACTAATTGAATCCCTTCCTTCAGGCACATGTTCATATGATGTACTTTTACTGTGCAGAGTTAAAAAAAATCCAACAAACTCTTAAGGAGGAATTGTGCTTGCAGTTTTTGTTTGGAGCAGAAATTGAAAGTTCCAAGAATGTAACGCCATAAAAAATGTTGAATTGCAATTTTATTTTCATCAAACACATCTACATGATGTACTGAGTCAAGTAACCCCCAGCCCTAAACTTCGTTTATGGAGAGTATAATTATGATACAAGCCAAAATAAAAGGCAAAATGGGCCTGTATTGCTCACCTAGTACTCAATATTGAGACTTTTAAAGTATGTCAAAATCAAATTTATGTAAACTAGAAATTGATAGCCCTCTACTCTGGTATGCAAAAGATTAAACATCATGACCAAAAATTTTTGATGATTCTAAAGAAGCTAAAAGGTTTCAACACATCTGACTAAAATGACTGAATGTTAGTCAATTCTTAAATTGAACAAATTGTAATCTTGAAAGTGGTTCAGTGTCATTCTTTTCACAATTACTAAATGATAATTAACAATTTCAAAGCCTTCATCCCGACATGCTTTTGGATAAACATCATCACCCTATGCAAATTCCATCAATGCCTAGCAAAGACTTTATTCATTTCCAGCGTGAGAAAAGGAAAACACAGCAGCGTAAATTCCAAGGCTGCGAGACATCAAGACCAATTTCAAATTCAATCAGGAACAATAACAGACCAGTCATAATACTCAACAGCAATACAGAAACATATGTATATAAGTATAACATATAGATAGATATTCAATAAAGTAAACGAAGGAGCATCAACACCAAGGATTCTGTTACGGTAGATACTTTCTTGTTGACATGTTTAGGTACCTGATGACAGTAGGCCTAGCCTACCGAAACACATACCTGATGACAGTAGGCCTACCCTACCGAAACACATACCTGATGACAGTAGGCCTAGCCTACCGAAACATGTCAACAAGAAAACATCTACCGCAATGGAATCCTTGGTGTTGATGCTCCTTTGTTTACTCTTGGATGGAGCTCTGTTTGAATTCCCTTGTGGTATCCACCTCTGACTCCTGACTCAGACCACAGACCATTGCCCATAGGATGTTGGATCTCCGTGCCGGTGAATCCAACATTTTTATTCCACCTTTTCATATAGATAGATAGATGCCTCTTGGTTATTGAGAAGTTGTGAAAATTTTAACACATGCCACTGACCTTAAAATTAAAAGTAAGTCAAGGTTATTCATTTCAAGAAAGTTCCTGACCCTTCATTGAAGTATATATATGCTATTGGCCAATTATAATAACCCTTGACGGCCTCTGAGCTCTTTGTTATTCAAGTATTATTGTTTTAAAGATTTTAACAAATTTGACTTCTGTGACCTTGAAAGTGGCTTCAGGTCATATGTTTGAAGAAAACTGGTATCCCTTCATTCCTGCATACTATATATAATAAGCTAGGGTACATGCCAAAATAGGTACAAGTAGGTATCATAACCTTTGCCTTTTGTTCATAAAAAGGAAAAGTTGCTGAAATGCTTGAACATGCTCAATCTCAGTGATCTTTAAAGTCATGATCAAGGTCATTCATGTGCAAAAATAATTATAGCTTTTCATTCCAGCATGCTACTAAATAGCCAAATATACCTAACACATGCCTCTTCATTATTCAGATGATGCTTAAAATGCCTTCATTCAAGCATAGTGGATGCACTAGCCAAATATACCTCAAGTCCTCTTGATAACTGATATAATTAGATTAAGTCATTATACAAGTCTTGATTCATTTGACATAAGTGACCTTGAAAATGGGCAAAGATTATTCATTTGAGCGAAATTGATAGCCCTTTATCCAAGAATGCTACTAGAAGATTATCATAACCCAAGGTTATTCAAAAGAAGTTACAAATGTATATGATTACTTAGAGGTTTGACCGTTTCACTACATTAAATATTTTGACCTGTGACCTTGAGAGCCAGTCAAGGTTATATATTTGAGCAAAATTGATTAACCTTCATCCTAGTACATGACACAAGCCAAATATCATGACTCGTAGTTATTCAGAAGAAGTTATTTTAAGATTTTGATGAATTTTACCGCAGTAAATTTGAAAGTGGGTCAAGGTCATTTACATGAACAAACATGATGCCCTTTTCTCCAAGAATACTACTTTCTCAATAATATCATCACTCTATATGCTTTTCGTTATTAAAAAAGTTTCAAAATTTAACAATTTTGACCCCTGCGACATTGTCAAGGTCGTTCATTAGAACAAACATGATAGCCATTTATGCATATTTGGTGACAAATCATCACGTGCACCCCTAAGCCCCTTACACTTGGTTTTCAGTAGAAATTGTTTAACAGCCTAAAATGACGCCCGACGGACAGATTCAGACCAGTTGAAAGTCGAACGCCGCAGCATTCCATAAAAATATATGCATTCCAATATATTGCATCACTACAATGACCTGAATGAGTGAAATACTGTTTCGTAATCACACAATATCCCGGATTATATACTGTACTGTATCTTCATCGAGTTACCTGCGCCTTGAGCAGCATTGTCAGAAGTTTGCGTTTGGAGACATCTCGCAGCAACCAGTTTATCAGAACTTTTCGTTAGACCCCTGGAGGCTTGTCGAAGTAAAATTCTGAGTTGAAACATTTTATGCGTTAACCAAGTCTTTTTACGTCGAAATGTACCTCATTTTATTCTATCCGGAAACCGTCAGTTGAACAAAATAATCGGACCAGGACTGGTCAGATTTCCGGATTTTTCACCAAAATATCATGAATACATTAATCAAAACCGTAAGATCTCAAAGTATAGGCTAAGGTATTTTGTATGTGTGTACCATTGATATCTGTGTTTTAGAGGAAGCAAATTTGCTGTAGGTATAGCTTATACGGTAACATTGAAATTTTGAAATGAAAACCCCACATCGTACCCCATATATTTTCCGGATTTTTGTTTTAGATCGTGTCTATTTCTATACACCCGTGTCATATTTCCGATTCGTGTTGTGGTAGCAGACAGCGAATGTTTTATTTGAAATTAACGTGAAAAACCCCACCATGTAGTGATCACATACTGTTATATATTTATGAGCGATTGTTTATGAAGACTGACATACAAATATGTCTTTAAGATTCTTCAAACTGTTACAAATGTCGCCAACATGTAGCTCTGCGCCATTGGTGACCTTCAGTAAGTTCATGATGCCATCGTGTGGGAGGGTTGGATTGACGTTATTACGTTCGTTTCACTCAAGTGTAAGTTATTTAGTCCCTAATACTTCTCCTAAGCTGTCACCTCAACAGGTCAACTCATACATTAGACTAAATGAACAGTCAATTCACGGGGAAGGTGCTGTGAAAAGCTTCGACTGTAATCGTCTTCCGGCTAATAATCCAATAGAAGACCGAGACGCCTCAGCAAAACTGAAGAATTCAAAGACTGGCCAATATTTGTTCGGTGTTTTCGATGGTCATGGTGGAGACTTTTGTTCGCAGGCTGTTTGCGAAAGACTTTACAATTACATATCAGTGACAATGTCTCCACCAGAAACACTGGATATGATAAGGAAAGCCAATTATGAAATTAGTTCTCTTGTGCATTGGTTACATGGACCGCAGAGTGTATTCACTGATGTCATGGAAAATGTTTACAAGGCAAAACTGGCGAAACTAGCATCAGAAATTCTTTCTCTCTCCGAGGAAACAACCATAAAAGAAAACCTTATTAGTGCATTTAATTCCCTCGACCATGATCTGATGATTGAAGCCGCACCTACTACTCTCAATAGAGAATTACAATTCAATTCTATGCAAATGGCATTTCAAGGATCATGTGCATGTGTTGCAATGTTAGATGACACTGAACTTTTTATTGCCAACACAGGAGATTGTAGAGCAGTATTAGGAGTACAGGATGAGCATGGCTGGAATGCTCTACCATTGTCTCAAATGCATGATGCTGCAAATCCATCTGAAATCAGGAGACTTTTACAGGTACATCCAAATGAGAGATCTAATATGATCCAGCAAGGAAGGCTATTTGGGATACTGGCTCCACTGAGGGCATTTGGAGACGCTCAGTTTAAATGGTCTGCAAGAGATTTGAAACATGTCGAAAAGACAAGTGCCTATGATATTCCTATATATGGCAAAACCCTGATGCCCCGAGGCTACCAAACTCCTCCTTATGTTACTGCTGAGCCTGAAATAATCCAGCATTCATTGACACCAAAAGACAAGTTTCTCATTATAGCTTCAGATGGACTGTGGGAACAAATGCCAGCAGAAAAGGTTGTTCAGTTAGTTGGTGGTCACAATATTGGTCATCAAATACCTGTGAACTTTCAACCTACTTCAAACATGAATTTGAGAGACATAAATGAAATGCTCAAAAAGAGGCAAAATGACTTGAAGAAAAAACCACAAGATGACAATGTGTGTTCCTATCTACTTCGCCATGCTCTTGGTCCAGAACACCAAAGAATCTCAGAAACATTATCTCTTGCCCCAGGTTATGCCAGATCTTACAGAGATGATATCTCTATTATTGTAGTTCATTTTGACAGTGCATACATCAAAGACAGATATGTAACATGACTTTTGAATTCAGCTACATATGTGTTCCATGTGGTCTTTATATTTAACTGTGGAATGAACATATACCGATAAATGGTAGTTTACTGCATGCAGTTTGAAGCTAAGTCTAGCTGATGAGAGCAACCCTCAATCATGATCTTATCTATTTGTAATTGTGTTCAAAATTAACAAAGCAAATAGGCCAATGGCACAGTAATAGATAAAATGTTATGTTTTGGACATGATCTGTGCATTGCATTTGGTATGCTTGTGCAGGAGATAAGAAAAAAAAGACTGACAGTTATATATTATAAATGCAATCTTAAGGAATGAGGCACTAAATATGTTCATGTTTTAGGACTATTATTTGTTAAACATTTGGTATACACAGTAATGTTGTGTACCCAAACTTGATTACAAAATACTCAATTATTTAAGATTTGTTTAAAAAAAAAATGTTATCACATGAATAAATTAGTTTGTTTACTTTTAACAAGAACAGACATGTATACATACATGTAAATAATGTATGTATACATGTCTGTTCTTGTTAAAAGTAAACAAACTAATTTATTCATGTGATAACATAGTGTAAACCATTATGACCTGTCACAACAGGCATATTGAAGAAACACTAAATGGCTGAAAATTTCCCTCAACTTTCCATAATTCCAAGGAGGCACAGTATTCTAGTGGTAGGACGCCGGCCTCGCGACCGAAGGGTTGCGGGTTCGAGTCGCGGCACAGCACTGTGTTGTATCTTTGAGCAAGATACTTTACTCCGCTTGTTCCAGTATACTCAGCTGTAAATGAGTACGTGGTTGGGCAGTGCTAGAATTGTTGAATGCTAGCTGTAAGTGCTAAAATGGCAGCACCAGCTGTATGCTCCCCAGGGAGTTGAGAAAGATATTGGCTGATTGCAAAGGCCCTATAACCGAGGATGATAATTTGTGAACTGCTTTTAGACGACCTACAAACTAGGTTGTGATAAAGTGGTATATAATAACCTCAAATTATTATTATTATCATTTCACCCTGCATACTAATACAGCTAGAGATGGTAGAATGATGTTAACCTAAATATAGAGGTCAAAATGTCAAAATCAAGGTCACAGGGTCAATCATTCGGTAGGTATAACAAGTAAGAAAGCACATACACCAAGGCAGTCTTTAAAAGTATCTTGTTTGCAATTTCCTATTCCCGTTTTCAGTGGGTAAGTAGAGATTTTTTTTAGAAATTGAATATTTTCAATTTTAAAATTAATTATCGGATAAGCTTACCTGGTATTTGACATTTTTCTGCCAAAAAAATCACAAAAATGGTAAAAGTTCCAGAAAAAGGTGAACTATACTCATTTTAAGAGAGTCAGTTTGGAAACCGCAAACAAACATTTGTTTAAGGATGGCCCAAGATAGTTTGAAGTAGTTTGTGTTTCATAATTCTACTTATACATCCAAGATCAAGGTTGCCATTGCCAACAATAATTATAAGGTGTCACTTGTGGAAATCAGTTGTTTTAAACTTAACCCCAACTCCCTGTAGATTCAACATCTTGCACGAAATTTATATATATATGGTTTAAGTATCAATGATTGACAATTGTTTGGTTGCAGCACTAGCTGAATTCTTCATCACATTGTTCTCAGATATATGTGTGTGCTGTGTCTTGGTGCATTGCAGCATTTGGCAGTTTAGCAATCAACCCTCAAGGCAAAAAGCTATTGTTTTATATAGTAGTAGTGACATATTGACTATGAGAGTATAATCAACCCTCAAGGCAAAAAAGCTATTGTTTTATATAGTAGCAGTGACATATTGACTATGACAGTATAATCATCACTCAAGCTATCCTCATATGTTAACCATCATATGGTATTGCCCATTTATAATCCTACCACATTCAGACAGCATTCATATAGACAATGAATGCCATGAGCCAATTGTTGCTTTGGATACTATTGAGCCTCACTGGACAGATGGCTGTTCTATGCATTGAACTAGCTCATACGATATATATTATTTGCACTAAATGCTAAAAATTAGTGTAATTATTTTTCTTAGATATAAAGACTCCAAAACTGGTTAATAAGATTGAAATGCTTTCATTTGGTATTCATAGGCAATATATATATACAATTGTGGATACTTATAATCAGTGGCCTTAAACAGGTTCCATTTCGACCATCATTTTGATTAACCATACCTACTTGTGTATTTTCACATGTTTATTTTGGCAAAAAATGCAAAGACTCAATATGTATTCACTAGTAATAAAGTGATAATATATTATTCACAGTGGCATAAATTAATATTTCAATGCAAAAAAATTGTTTTTATGGTGTGCATATATATATATATATTATAGATATTAGGTACATGTATTATGAGTCAATGACATGTTGTGATATTTTTGTTTCACATTAATACATTGGATTTCAAATATTGTGATGATGTAATTAAAATGGTCTCACAAATTCAATCTATCACAACTATTTACTAAGGAACATAGTCAAAAGAAGTTTGTATTGGTTCTTTTTCTGTCTTGACAAAATCAAAGACTCATTGTTAATCATTTGATTGGTTTTATACATAAAACACATCAACCCCTAGGGTGATATGTGTCCTTTGAAGATTGCTGAGAAGCTATACCAAAGTCAAACTCGACAGCTACGCTGCCGCTGCCGCTGCCGCATAATTCCTTTTATTTTGTATCAAAATGATCGCAGGGTTTGGTAAGTTTCCAGACTTAATCAAGTCATATGATCTGCTAGGTGACGCAATATAAAGCCTTCGATTTTGTTACGACGTATTCCAAGGGAGTAGTGATCTCGTTTATGTCGAGAACAGAACCATTGGTTTTTGAAGTAGATGTTGTCTATATACAAATCCATTTACTAATCATTTGAGATACAATAGCAAAAATCAGTATTCGTGAAAGAAGTGTAATTTTCAAAATGTTTTATAACACAGCATATAATAGGATACTGGTGCATGTGTATATGTGAACTTCCCCTGCCATTATATTGATATTGGTGCAAGCTGTAAGTAAAATCTATACTTAAAAACAGATCTATGAAAGTGCAATTACCAAACTAGAAACTGATGTAAAATATGACTAAACTAATAAAGGGGCATTCAATATAAACTGGATGCAATCACTAAACTAGGAACTGATGTGAAATAGGGTCTAGTTGATTAAAGGTAATTCCTTAAAAAAAGTGATAAACCGTTAATGCATTGAATTATATTTACACTTCTTTAAGAATGTACAGGGTTTGAATGGGGTTGCTAAGAAAGGACACTTCAGGAACATCATAGCAGAAATATCAATGGATCTACTTTTTTGTATATACGTGTAGTACACAATGACTGCCATTTTACTTTGCTGCAACTGAAGTTTTCCTGTTTAACAATCTTCTTTTAATCATGTATCTAGTATCTTAGCTATTTATCTAGTAGCTTGGCTACTTCAATTTAGTATGACATTGAATTGTTACCAGACCAAAAACAGCAAGAGTACCTTGAAGTTACTGTGATTGCCAGCATGGTATTTCTATAGTGGAAATTGATTTTGATTGGTTGCTGGAGACAAAGTAACTCAGTTGGTTATAATATCCATCTAGATTTCAGAAGTCTCTGGATCAAATTCCATTCCATGTGTTTTTCCTTTCTCGTTAAATTTATTGTCCAGCATTGCAATCTCTACCAATGGAAGGTGGTATATAGGGTCTAGTGTGTCTATGGGGCCCTAGACTTTGTTTAAGGAGGGTGTGTAGGTGGGTGGAGGGGGGGGAGAGAGAGGTATGCAGCAGATCTGAACTGGACCGATCCTGGGTAGCTTACATATATAGTTGCTTATAGAGCATCTGTCCATAACTTGGAGGTCCCAGTCTCACTGTTGAATTTATCCGCATCTTTTAAATTATAATAGACAGTGCTAATTTGTTATTGTTCATGTCAACAGTAGAATTATGCCAAATTCACATACTCAATTAACATTACCTAGTGTCTTTTTTTATGACATTCCTTGCCAAGTTGATATGCTAGAAAATGTATTTAACCATATCTACAGTATACTTGATTTTGTTAATATCCGACCAACTCTGTAGATTTCCAACCAACTTCCATTGCAAGGTATTATCATTGCATTACAATCATTTTTATTCACAATTTTTCTTTTACCTACTTATCCACATTAAATGTTATGAGTATAGGTACAGTATGACTGCACATTTTTTCATAACATTTAAAGTAATGTACAGTTTAAGGAGCCGAATTAATATAAGTACTTAGGTACTTGTTTTCGAATCCTCTGTTGATTTTGTAATATTTTGTCACTGCCATATACTGAATAAAATACTGTTTAAACTAAACATAGAGCTTTAAGTGTTAAAGTAATGTACAGTTTACTAATTACCTAAAAATAGAGCTGTAAGTGTTAAAGTACAGTACAGTTTACTAATTACCTAAACATAGAGCTGTAAGTGTTAAAGTAATGTACAGTTTACTAATTATCTAAACATAGAGCTTTAAGTGTTCAAGATATCATACATCAGACTAAATGTCCCGTAAATCTTCAGTTAAAAAACAAGATGAAAGCTGCATCGAAGATCTAAGCATTGCAGCAAATTATAAATGTTACCATAGCAATTGATTAAAAGCATATTCTCGAGCTTGCACACTACATGTATTACATTTGTTGAAACTTTTCATATGATTTGACAGTGTTACTTTCCTTGAATCTCCAGTGATTAAAAACATCAATTAATCTTTATTTTGTGATTAAAATGTTCTTAGGAACTATAGCCCTAGCTTCCAGATGTACATACAATGTAAGGGGCTTAGATTGTTCTCGCCTACAGCTAGTAATGTAATTTGTGTGAATTTCTGTGAGTCAACACATTGAGCATATACTTCCATTTAACATAAATTTGTTATACAGTAGAAAATTTGAAAGTGTACCATTTTGTGTATAGAAAAAAAGTTCATATATCTGTTTATAAAAGGCATGAATTTCCCATGTTCATTACAGTTAATTACCACTTAAGGATGGATGCTATATATGTTACTGTGTCATGTCAATCTTTCCTAAAAGAGTTCAATGCTAAAAGTTGACACTTAAAGCTTGTAAATATTATAATATGGACTTGGTCAAATAATTGAAGGAATTTACAGAAGGATGCATGCATTGATTGAATGTTCTCTGGAAATTATGAATAGAATTATAAAAATGTATAAATATATAAGGGAAATAGCTCTATCACAACTTATAGGAATAATGTGTAACGTAGCATACATTGAATATCCTTTAATATAATTTATTTGTTAGACATATATGGATTAAATGTCATGTAAACAGCTGTTATTACATTATATAGATTTGTAATCGTTATATATGTGTTGTAGCTATTGTAGATATCCAAATTCCACAGCAAATATATCTTGCACAGGTTGCTCTGACTTGAGAACAGTACCAGAGATACATAAACATACTA